TAAAATATGAAATTAACCTCTAGTTTCTTGTTTTGTTAGAAGACTCACCTTAACTGGAAAGTTCTCACCATCTGTTGTGTAATTTAAAGAAAAAAATTGTACATGTCAGTCTATAAAGTTATTTCGCTGTTGACTATTTTTCAGTTCAGTTCTCAGAAAAATAGCTGAGTATACAGATGCTAAGATCATAATTGATAAAATTACTATGATCTGGTAATTATAATTGATAAAATTACTATGATCTGGTAAATTTTTAGGAGCTTGTTAGGATTAAATTTGTAAAATGGCATCTAATACTTGCCAAATATTTTCTAGTTTGTCCCAGTCAGGTTACAGATTTCTCTCCCAAAAGCCCTGACACCTTTAAAATGTTTGAACTTAAGATTATTTTTCCATGTATAAAATAAGTTTGTTAGTGAATTTTAAAAAGGGACTGTGGGGAGCAACTCGGACTAGACTAAGTTACTGGAATTAAGACTTATTCTGGCCGGCGCCGCGGCTCACTAGGCTAATCCTCCGTCTTGCGGCGCCGGCACACCGGGTTCTAGTCCCGGTCGGGGCGCCGGATTCTGTCCTGGTTGCCCCTCTTCCAGGCCAGCTCTCTGCTGTGGCCAGGGAGTGCAGTGGAGGATGGCCCAAGTGCTTGGGCCCTGCACCCCATGGGAGACCAGAAGTACCTGGCTCCTGCCATTGGATCAGCACTGTGTGCCGGCTGCAGCGCGCCGGCCATGGCGGCCATTGGAGGGTGAACCAACGGCAACGGAAGACCTTTCTGTCTCTCTCTCTCTCACTGTCCACTCTGCCTGTCAAAAAAAAAAAAAAAAAGACTTATTCTATTTATTCTATGCATCTGCTCTCCCACAATATGGCGCTGGGAGAGGAGTAAACAACTTCTACACAGCTGCCTCCAGTTCGACCAATAACCTGCAGGAGCTGATCCTGCTCCTGATTGGAGGAGAGCAGCGTACTCGGCGTGTGGGTAGCAGAGTTGGGATTGGAGGAAGAGGACTATAAAGGAGGAGAGAGACAACATGCACCAGGAACATCTAATGGGAACATCCGGATAACATCTGAGCAGCCCCGGAGAGAGCCGGCCAGCGGTGTGCCGCTCCCCCGCGGAAGTGGGGAAAGTGGCAGGGAGAGCAGCCAACCCGGGAAGAACCAGCAGCAAACCCGGGAAGGGCCCAGCAGACAAAAGAACAGCGCAGGGTCCTGTGTCGTTCCTCTGCAAAGAGGGGAAGCGACAAGGGACCTGAGATAACTTGGGTCCCAGCAGCTAATGGATATTAATGGCATGGGAAAACTGTTTACAAACTGAACTACAGAAAGAAGCCATTTCCAGAGCTAAAATGGAATTCCCTTAAATATGCTCCGCAAAGAATGATACAGGAAATAGGTAAACCGAGAATTAGAATGGGTCTAAATTTTTAAAAACTATTTCATGTGAAACTATTTCCCATGCCAGTTTTTTTGGTAAGGGAAACTACTATTTGGGATTGCAGTCTTACAATCTTTGATTCACTTTTTTTTTTTTTGACAGGCAGAGTGGACAGTGAGAGAGAGAGAGAGAGAAAGGTCTTCCTTTGCCGTTGGTTCACCCTCCAATGGCCACCACAGCTGGCACACTGCACTGATCTGAAGGCAGGGAGCCAGGGTACTTATCCTGGTCTCCCATGGGGTGCAGGGCCCAAGCACTTGGGCCATCCTCCACTGCACTCCCTGGCCACAGCAGAGAGCTGGCCTGGAAGAGGGGCAACCGGGACAGAATCCAGCACCCCGACTGGGACTAGAACCCGGTGTGCTGGCGCTGCAAGGTGGAGGATTAGCCTATTGAGCCGCGGCGCCGGCTCTGATTCACTTTTAACATCATTACCAAATTCTTTCTAGAACAAAGTGTTAGTCTTCTTAGAAAAACTTCAGTAGCTTGCCATTGTCAGAGCAGTGCCATTATCTGGATGTGACTTTCTTAACTTTTATCTTGGATTAGTTCCTCACACTCTGGACTAGCTAGGCCAAATACTGCCTGCAGTCTACATTCAGCCTACCATCAGTCTCTTTGACTCGAGTTACGGTTTTTAAATTTTTCAGTCGGAAAAAATGAAATTGCTGTATGTGAAAACACATTCAGGCCGGCGCCGCGGCTCACTAGGCTAATCCTCCACCTAGCGGCGCCGGCACACCGGGTTCTAGTCCCGGTCGGGGCGCCGGATTCTGTCCTGGTTGCCCCTCTTCCAGGCCAGCTCTCTGCTGCGGCCAGGGAGTGCAGTGGAGGATGGCCCAAGTGCTTGGGCCCTGCACCCCATGGAAGACCAGGGAAAGCACCTGGCTCCTGGCTCCTGCCATCGGATCAGCGCGGTGCGCCGGCCGCAGCGCGGCGGCCATTGGAGGGTGAACCAATGGCAAAAGGAAGACCTTTCTGTCTCTCTCTCTCACTGTCCACTGTCACTGTCTCTCACTGCCTGTCAAAAAAAAAAACAAAAAAAACAAAAAAACAAAAACACACATTCAAATTCCAGATCCTGCAATAGTTTCACTGGTACAGAGTCATCCTCATTTGTACACATTGTCTACAGTTTTTTAAGCAGTTCTAGAGTTGAGAAGTTACAACTGCGCCCTTATGCAAAGCTATCGGACCCTTTATAGAAAAAGCTGCCTAACCCCTGACCTAGACATTCTAGTTTCTATCTCCTCACCTATCAAGGTTTCTACTGTCACCTTTATGAGGCTGTCAAGGTAGAATTTTAAAGAAAGTTAAAAACATGACTCTTTCTAACATTTATTTGAAAGGCAGAGGAAGGTCTTCCATCTGCTGGTTCACTCCCCAAATGGCTGCAACAGCCAGAGCTGGGCCCATCTGAAGTCAGGAGCCAGGAGCTTAGAGCCTCTTCCCCTCTTCTGAGTCTCCCACGTGGGTGCAGAGGCCCAAAGATTTGGGCCATCCTCTGTTGCTTTCCCAGGCACATTAGCAGCGAGCTGGATCAGAAATGGAGAAGCTGGGACTTGAACTGGCACGCATATGGGATGCCCGCACTGCAGGCGGCTTTACCTACTATGCAACAGCGCAGGCCCTTAACAACATGATTCTTCCACAGTGAGCTAAACTCCAACTGGCAGAATCAGTACAACGGTAAAGCTGGTTCCAGGAACATTTAAAGAGCAAAGTATTGACAGGTTTAAAGGTAAAAATTAGAGTAAGGCTGCAAGTTACCTTTTTTTGTGTGTGTGTGTAAAGATTTATTTCATTTGAAAGACAGATTTACAGAGAGGTAGAGACAGAGAGGTCTTCCATCTGCTGGTTCACTCCCCAGATGGCTGCAACGGCTGGAGCTGGGCTGATCCAAAGCCAGGAGCTAGGGGTTCTTCCGGGTCTCCCACGTGAGTTCAGGGGCCCAAGGACTTGGGCCATCTTCTACTGCTTTCCCAGGCCATAGCAGAGAGCTAGATTGGAAATGGTGGATCAGCCGGGACTAGAACTGGTGCCCACATGGGATGCTGGCACTTCGGTCAGGACTTTAACACGCTGCACCTCAGCACTGGCCCCAAGGATGCAAGTTAAATAAAATTGTTTTGCATCCCACAGGGCAATACCACCTTAACTTGGGGTTTGTTTTTCTATCAGAAATCTTACAATTCGAGAAATTTCACAATGTCTAGCCAGGTCAAACACAGGTATCTAGAATTAAATAACCATGGGGCAGATTATAAACAACAGTCCAGTGTGAACTGAAAGGCCATTCCTCCACTCTTTGCCTTATTTGCCATTTGGTCAGTTTTTCTTAAGGCCTGTCCTGATTCTTCCAAAGTACACCTCTCGCCCTTTCAGGCTCCCATTCCTTTCCCTACTTTTATTACAGCACCCAGTTCTGTCTTCCCTGACAGGTATTAGGTTCCTAGGCATCCCAGTACTTAAACTGGGATTTTATCTTCCTTTTGGGACTTGCGTGTAGGGTCCAAGTTCAATAAGCCCCCAGCACCGGTCTTGCCTAAGTCACAACACCTTCTCCCTTAATATGACGGCCTCATTCTTTCCAAGCGTCTTATGCTATTTTCCTTAAGCCTCCGTCTTCCAAAGAGGTGAATTTCCCCCTTACTTCTGGTAGGCGAGCTCTGTTTTGATATTTTTGGTTACCACCCATTAAGATCCTTAACTCGTAAAAAAAAAAAAAAAATGAGACCCTTCCCCCAGCTGACTCCTCAGAGCCAAGGAGCGTCGCAGTCTCTCCAGTCCCAGACACCGACCCTGTTCCTTCAAACATTATTCCTGCGCCACCTTCGGCACCAGGGGCTCAGAGCGGCGGCAAACGCCCGCCGCCTCCCACGGCGACCGCGGCTCCCCAGCCAAGGCCTCCAACCTTCAGAAACGCGGCCTGAGGCCCTGGACTGAGTTGGGCCGCGGTCGCAACTGCGCCCCTCACAGGCTCGCCACGTCTTCCCGCGGCGACACGTTTGCCTCCCGCGGCTGGCTCACTCCCTCCAAAGCGGCCAAGGCCCCACTTCGCTTCTCAAGGATCACGACCCCGCGTCCCTGCCTCCCACTGCCGACGCGGCCCGTTCCCCAGCGACATCGCCAGGGCCGTGCGGCCGCGGACGGTTGGGCGGCCAACGGCTCCCCGACGCGAGGGGCAGCGCGGGCGGGCGAGGCGTGAACGAGGCGGCCCGTGCGGGGGGCGCAGGGCGGCGCCGGCGGCGGCGGAAGGATCGCGAAGGAAGCGGGGAGGGCCCCGGCCCTTTTCCGTAGAGATCTCTAGCAATAGCCGCGCAGCGGCCCGAAAACACGGACTGCGCACGCGCGGCGGCCGGGCCCGGGCATTTTGCTGCGTCACCAGCCGCCGCCCGGCCTCACCACCCCTCGCTCGCACGCACGCACGTTCCTCCTCCGTCCTCGCGCCCCTTTTCCTACACTTTCCTCTTCTCCCCGACCGGAGGAGCCGCTCGCGCCGCGCGGTGCATTCTGGGGACCCAGGTCGAGCCCGCCGCCGCCGTCGCCGCCGCCGCCTGAGGGGAGCGAGGAGAGGCCGCGACCGGAGAGAAAACGCCGGAGTCGCCGCCGGAGAAAAGTCGACTCCCCAGCCGCCGCCGCCGCCGCCAGCGAGGCCCGCCCACCCGCTCGCCCGTCCCCCTGCCCCGTTCACAATGTGAGTGCGACACCCCGCCGAGTGAAGGTCGCCCCGGGAGTGAGGCCGAGGCCGCCCCGGGGCCCCCAGGCCTTGGGCTCCTTCGCCCTTCTCCCCTCCGTGGTGGCAGTCGCTCCTGGGGGTGGGAGGGCCGGGGTCCCTGGTTTCCGGTTCCCGTCGGCGGGGGGAGGACATTTTTTCTCCAGATGTCCTCTCCCCGCACCTTTAAGCCGTCCCTCAGCCTCCCCTGCCCCAGAACTCGTCCCTTTTTCGTAACTTTAGCCCCAGGCCCTCAGCCCTGGCGAGCTCTCGGCCATGCGGGGCGCCCTGCAGGCGGGGACCCTCGTGGGCTGCCCGGGCAGTCGCTCCCGCCGCCCGTGACGCCGCGCCAGGGCCAGGTGCACCTGTGGTGGCGGCCACCAGACGCCCGCGGCCCGGGCTCCCCGGTGGAGCGGCACGCGACCGTGCGCCATGCGCGGCGGGCACTGCTAGGCAACTGGGGGGTGGCCATGCCGCCGCCACAACTTCCTGTCTGCTGGGTCGTGGGGGTCCTTGCAGGCCGCCTGCTCCCCCCAGTGCCCGGGGAGAGGAGGGCGAGTGCCCACCACGCACTCGGCGACTTCCCTGGCGGCGAGGAGGAGTGACCGTTGAGCAGGTAGTTGTGCACGTGTCCAGGCCAGGCCGGAGAGAACCTGTGGACATTTTCTGTGTTCCCCAGGAAACTTGAGGAGATCACTTTTCGCTGTGAGATGGGAAGAGGTGTGCGATCACCTTTTGTTGACGTGGAAGCGACTGCAGATTTTTTTCTTTTTTGCACTTTTTTTTTTCTTTTTATGAATCATGGTAAAGTCAAACCTTGGTAGTTTTCCTAAGAATCCTTGGCCCTGCCGCTGCCGGGCCTTCCGTTCTTTTCAGAAAAAGCTTTACCTCTTCCACTGCGCGGATATTCGGGGTTTGGGGGTCATTTTTGCTTCATGTTCTTGGGTTTCCTGGGTGCTGACTTCCCTGAAAGTTTTAGAGATGAACAGTTGAAAGGGAGCAATTTTGATTCCCACAGAAAGTAATACACTTGAAAGAGTTAATATCAGGTAAGTATATAGGGTAAAAATCTCCATGCCCTCCAGCCAGTTGAAGAGCGCCAAGGACTCCAGAAGAAAGCCTGTATCCCTGCAAGGGCGTGTGTTTGCATTATGGAGAATTTTTTTTTCGCTCAAAAGAGATGTCTAAATTTTTTTTAAAGAAAGATTTAGATCTATATAAAACAGTTCCTAATTTTTCCTTTGAAATCTGAGTTACATGGCAAAGAGTCAGTCTTAAAACGACTTTTATAACTTGAAAATTGTCTGATACAGCATTACTAACTTGTAAATGCAGTTACGTAGCCAAACGAAATAGCTTTTCAAGAAGAAATATTTTTTAAACAGCTTGAAATAGTGACTCTGGAGGTCAGAAAAAGTAGCTAAATGGGTAAGAAACATGAAGTTTTGTGGATACGTGGGGACTTAAAGTTTGTAGAAAAATGAGATTAAAGGTAAGGTTATTTTAGTCCAAAAAATTTTGAGCTCATAGTTTATGCACAATGTATATTAAAATTTTGCATTACAAAAATTTTTACACCAGAATTCTTCCTTCACAAATTCTTTGAAGTACCCTCTTAGATTAAAAACTTGGAAGAAAAGTGTAGCAGCCGTAGTCCAAAAAAGCAGTCTCCATGTGGTCACACGAACGCTACCTTCAAAATGAGTGTTTTCCAGAAAGCAGGTAATTCTTACTCTGTTCAAAATGGTATGTGCCCTCTTGTAAATTTTTCAGGGGGTCTTACCTAACCTAGTGACTTAAGTGAAATTATAGAATGAATATTATGAGTTGGAAGAAACCTTTAATGGGCCATCTAGTTCTCAGAAGAATCTGCTTGACTGATAAGGGTTCATTTTATTGATTTTATTGATGTCAGTTACAAAGATTTTTTTTTTAATATATAGAGGGAGACAGTTATGTATCTTAAAGGCTTGGAGGTGTGTGATTATACAAAGTTAATAAAAGTTTTAATAGTTTTTATGAGAACTCTTAATTTGACTTCTTCCTTGTAGTAGGCTGGAATTTTAAAGTTACTCTTTTCTCCCTTTTGAGAATTTGTGCTAACCTAACCTTATGAGGGGTGCCACTCTGAGGTTTTCTTTTAGTGATTGTTGTTGGGTACATTAACAAATATAAAGTAAAATGTTTTGAGATACTCTAAGTAATTTTTAATGCTCCATGTCTTTATTGTCTTGAAACATACTGTGTCTGTCTCTGTTGGTTAAAACCTTTGCTACAACTCAGCGTTGTAGGGTAGGATCCCCAAAATAAAATCGTCAGTCTTTGGCTTTCAGGACATCTTTCCCTAGTGAGAATATGGTGTATAGTGAATTTCTGTAAGTTAGAAAAGAGTAACTGGTCATGGCCTTTGTTCGTGTTGATTTTCTAACCACTGTAACCTGGCAACTGGATTTTCTTCTTTTTTTTTTTTTTTTTTTTTTTTTTTTTTTTTTCCTGTGCTGAGTTAGACTTTAACTAGAAGGCAGTAGAAACTGGAAATGACATGACTGAGTGCAAGCCACTTTTGCTAAATTAAGATTCTGCTGTTTATATTTTGCTTGAAACTCTTTTAGAAGCCATATGATTTGGTGGTTTTAACGTGGTTAGAGATTATTATATCAATTGTTTAGAATCACCCTAACTCTTATTGCATTTATTGTGTTTTGCCATGGAAAATCGAAGTATGTGGTATTAAACGTATTAATTTATGTGGATGGGCAATGATAGATTTTAAGTTGAAGCTGCTTCCCTCATATATGTATGAATTTATGGTTTTCCATGAAGATACCAGTTAACGTTTACCTTGAGCACTAGGCCCTCCTCCCCATAACATGTTATTACAAAGCTGAAATAAAATGTACTGTTAGATTTTTTTTGTCCCACAGTTGCTTTTCACATGTAGTTATGCTTTGTCAATAAAGAATGTATGTATAAGTATCATTTCCAACTCAGGATATTCAGATACATTCATGGATTGAAAGGATCTCAATCAACAGGTTTTTAATATTAGGCTGTGGGAACTAATTCTTAAAAGTACTGATTAGTATCATAAGAGGAAGTCCAAAATGGGATTGGAACCCAGGGTTTTTTACAGACTTTCTTCTTTCTTGAGATGTATTTATATTGACGAGAGATCTTCCATCCACTGATTGACCGCCCACTGACCCGCAACAGCCAGGTCTGGACTAGGCCAAAGCCAGGAACTGCATCCGGCGTGATGGGAACTCATACTTGAGCCATCAAGTATGCTTCTCAGGCACATTAGCCGGGAGCTGGATCAGAAGCGGAGTAGTTGGAACTAGGACTCAAACCTGCTCTCCATTATGGGATTTGGGCATCCCAAGTGGAAGCTTAACCCACAAAGTCTACCTCCAGAAGACTTTTGCTACTTCATAAAAAGGAAAACAATGTTCAGGGTGTACCTTCTTTTTCCAAATAAACAGCCATGTCTCTCTGGTTCAGATTTATTATATACTCTAAGCTGCTTGTCTTACAACCTATGCCATACTTCTTTTTGATTTATTTATTTGGAAGTTACCAGAGAAAGAGAGGCAGATGCCTTCCATCTGCCAGTTCACTCCCCAGATGGCAGCAACCCCTGGGACTGGGCCAGGCCAAAGCCAGGAGCTTCTAGGTCTCCTACTTGATTGGCAGGGACCCAGGTACTTGGACCATCTTCTGCTTTTCCCAGGCCATTAGCAAGGACTTGCAACAACACCCATATGGGATGCCAGTGTTGCAGGTGGTGGCTTTACCTACTGTGCCACAATGCTGGCCCCTGTGCCATACTTGACATAATGGTAGTAAATGCTTGTGTGTATAAAATTTGTATCTTATTGAGGCAATAAGACTGACAATTAACCTTGAATCTTTTTTATGAAGAAAAAAAAATTCTAAGATTTATTTCAGAGAGTGGCAGAAACAGAGCTCTTCTATCCACTGGTTCACTCCCAAAATGGCCACAGCTGCCAGGGCTGGTCCAGACTGAATTCAGGGTCTTCCGTGTGAGTGGCAGGGGCCCAGGTACTTAGGCTATCATCTGCTGCTCTCTCAGGCACACTAGCAGGGAGCTGAATCAGAAGGAGTGCAGGTAGAATTGGAACTAGCACTGATATGGGATGGTAGTCTTGCAGCTTCATTCACTGTGCTAAGGCACTGGCCCCTGGAGAAATATTTTTATCTGCTTTGGGGATCTTAAAAGGAAGAATGCACAGAAGCAGTAAGGTGAGGAGGCTGTTAGCTCGAATAACTTTTACCTTTATATCTTGGAACAGAAATTGCCAAATAAAGGAACTAGCACAAAAATTCAAAGATGTTCTTGTTTCATGGTGCCTTTGGTGCCTTTTTACTGTCTTGGTGGTCCAAAAGGAGTAATTACCAATTCTTCCCAACAGGCTCCTAGTTATTTGAGAAGCTAATACACAAATTATACGTACCATAGCTACTAATAGGATATATATGTTGGGCACTGTATAACTTAGCTAATCTTTGGAGTCAGATAATATACATAGGTACCACTTCTGTTAACTTGCTGGTGTGTGTGATGGGCTGGTGAGTTGGGAGTACTTGTTTTGATTTTTTGTGTGTGTGTGTGTGTGTATGAATCAGCTGTCACCAGAAATCCAACTTTGAAATGAGACTTTTTTTTTTTTTTTTTTTTAATTTTTTTTTAACAGGTAGAGTGGACAGTGAGAGAGAGAGAGACAGAGAGAAAGGTCTTCCCTTTGCTGTTGGTTCACCCTCCAATGGCTGCCGCGGCCGGTGCACCACACTGATCCGATGGCAGGAGCCAGGTGCTTCTCCTGGTCTCCCATAGGGTGCAGGGCCCAAGCACTTGGGCCATCCTCCACTGCACTCCCGGGCCATAGCAGAGAGCTGGCCTGGAAGAGGGGCAACCGGGACAGAATCCGGTGCCCCAACCGGGATTAGAACCTGGGGTGCCGGCGCCACTAGGCGGAGGATTAGCCTATTGAGCCACGGTGCCGGCCCTTTTTTTTTTTTTTTTAAGATTTATTTATTTGAAAGTCAGAGTTAGAGAGAGAGGTCTTCCATCCTCTGGTTCACTCCAGCAATGGCTGGAACTGCACCTTTCCGGAGCCAGGAGCTTCTGGGTCTCCCACGCGGGTCCAGGGGCCCAAGAACTTGGGTCATCTTCTACTGCTTTCCCAGCCCACAGCAGAGAGCTGGATTGGAAGAGGAACAGCTGGGACTAGAACTGGCACCCGTATGGGATGCCGGTGCTTCAGGCCAGGGCGTTAACCCACTGTGTCACAGCACTAGCCATGAGAAGATGAGACTTAATGGAGAGGACTTTGAAACTAAACCACCTCAAACTGGTATAATGGCTTGCTTGGTGTCTTGTGTGAGGTTCAGTGAATTCCTCTCATTTTATTTTTTTAAGATTTATTTCTTTATTTGAAAGTTAGTTACACAGAGAAGGAGAGTCAGAGAGAGAGAATGGTCTTCCATCTGCTGGTTCACTCTGCACATGGCCAGAACTGAGCCAATCTGAAGCCAGGAGCTTCTTCTGGGTCTCCCACGTAGGGGTAGGGGCCCAAGGACTTGAGCTGCCATCTACTGCTTTCCCAGGCCATAGCAGAGAGCTGGTTCAGAAGTGGAGCAGGGATGCCAACACTACAGGCTGTGGCTTTACCCACTATGCCACAGCGCCAGCCCTTCAAATTTTAAATAACCTGTACAACCCAGTGAGTTCTTCCATGATATTCTGGTACCCCTTAGCACATGATTTGAGAACCACAGAACTATCACATTTATTCATGTGGCCATTTAGAAAGTTTTATGTAGTAGTATAACTAAGGTGCAGAAGATCTGAAAATATGAAAAGTATATCTTGGGGTTTCTCTAAACAGTGTGTTAGTGATGGTTTCAGATATTTATAAGTGGGTTTTCTTTTTGTTTTAATTTGAAAGGCAGAACAGCACAGAGGGAGATACTCCATCAGCTGGTTCACTCCCCAAATGGCCATACTGACCAAGGCTGGCCTAGGTCGGCCTGGGGCCGGCACTGTTGTGCAGTGGGTTAAAGCCCTGCCCTGAAGCACCAGCATACCATATGGTGCCAGTTCTAGTACTGACTGCTCCTCTTCCAATCCAGCTCTCTGCTATGGCCTGGGAAAGCAGTAGAAGATGGCCCAAGGACTTGGGCCCCTGCACCCACGTGGGAGACCCAGAAAGAAGCTCCTGGCTTCTGATTGGCGCAGCTTCGGGCGTTGGGGCCATCTGGGGAGTGAACCAGCGGATGGACGACCTCTCTGTCTCTACCTCTCTCTCTGTAACTCTTTCAAATCAATAAAATCTTTTTTTTTTTTAAGGGCAGGAGCCAGGAACCCCATTTTGGTCTTATATCTTTTCACTGCCTACCCAGGTGTATTAGCAGGGAGATAAATTGCACTCTGATGCCAGTCCTCACGCCGGGCTTTCTCCGCTTAAAAACTCTGCTTAGTTTGAACTCAAGACTTCCTCATTTTCCATTGCAGAGCTTAAGTATTTCACTTCAGCTATTACAGGCTGAAGTAGATTTAGTTCTTTTATTCCCTTTTGCAAATGATAAACAAATTTTTATTTTGAAATTAGTACTTCTGGGGCTGGGGCTGTGGTGTAGCGAGTAAAGCCACCACCTGCAGTGCCGGCATCCCATATGGGTGCTGGTTCTGGTCCCAGTTT